GTGCCCCCCCACCAGACCCACCGTTTGAAAAATTATGGATCCGCCCCTGCTTAATTATAATATCAGAATATTTGTCTTTCTTTCCTCTATTAGAATGGAGACCATGAAGTGAAGATGAATTTATACATACCACATCCAGACAATTCATCTTTAATGGAAATATTTATGGTTATTCTGAAAGTTTCCAGAAAAGATAGTGGGAACATGAGGTTGGTGATTTTTGAACGAATAGTTATATAGTCCATTTGAGAAATGTGCTGATGGGGGAGTTCTCATCAAGTTGTGTGTCTGCTCATTGAAAGAAAAAGAATACCAAGTTCATCGACAGACATTCCAAATTTCAACAAATTTTCAGAAATGTTTGGTAGTAAAACACTACTTAAACTAGTAGATAAACAATGTTTATACATTTTCGAAAGAAAAAACAATGCAGGAGTTGTATTGGAGGCAGAAAACCTATGTATGAATAAAAAATATGCAATAACAATAAATATAACAACAGTAAACATGACACTGAGCTCAGGGTCACCGGTAGAAGCTGACCTTTGGCCCGGAATGATGTCATTTCTTGTAGCGATGGTCCAAACCTCATTGGATTGGGATTATAAATATACAGTGAAATATGAATTTATATACATTATGTAAGAAAATGACTAAACCCTATTTTTTCTGAAAAGTTCTTAAATATAATAAATATTACGCACCACCATTACCTAGCGCAGGCCAGACGTCAATCCTTTTCATTAGCCCCAATATTGATAAACCTTCTCGTAGTTTCACTTGGTTGGCCAATAAGCTATGTCAAAGGTCAATGTTAATAAGCAAACAATGTCAGCTGGGATAGTACTGTATGTACTGCAGTATCTGCATATTCTGTGAGAAACCCTAACCAAACATTTTTTATCGTTTGTAATAATTCTAATATTACCTCAAACAGGAACCAACTACGAAACATACAATAATAAAATTGCAATTTGATTATCTTAATTTTCATTATATTGCTCTTAAAAGGCCATGGGTAGAAACATACATCAACATTTTATTATAACTCAACATTTTAAATTCAAATACTTTTATTAGTACATTTTTAGAACGACAATCGATTTAATTGATATTAGCTACTTCGAGTTAAGCCTACCTGAATGACATAGAATACAATAGGCATTTACTTATAATTGTAATTCAGCATTAAAATTAAAAATAATTAAATGTATTTGTTTATTGCTTGTATGATTATAAATATACATTTATATAATGTTCTATTACAACAATTCAACAATTACTATTACTTACATACAGTGGCGGCTCTAGGATATAATTTATGGTAGGGAGGGGGCTAAGATGTCCGACTGGGGATAAGCATTAATTTTATGGGTATAACTATAGCGCGCAGCGTTATCTGAGAGCCGAAGGCCCAAGCCAGAGGTGGGTATGGGAGGGGGTATCCCCTCCTTCTAAAACGAGATTTAAAATTTAAAAAAATGGGACTTCTAGATGGCCAGAAATGGCTAGGATGGGAAAACTAGACCTATTTTTTCTTCTTTTTTTTTTGGTCCGACTGCCCGACGAGCTTTGGCCAATGAGGGTGGGGATGCTTGACCAGACCGATGGGGGGGGGGGAGGCACTGCTTACATATACTTTTTTTTTATTGCGCCCATGAAACACTTGTATACGTATATTTACCATAATTCAACACTGATACACAGTCAAGATCATCAACGTTATAAATTCCAGGAGTGTGATCAAACTCAACAAACTGGCCAATCAGTGCGTTTGTCGGACAGCGTTGTGATTGGTCTCAGTTGTACAGTATTAGTAAGTTGATTGACACGCCGAAAACGTTCATAGTGTTGTATTGTATCAAGAATCGTCTACTTTAGGTGATCAATTGAACGGCACTACTTATTATTAAAACTCAACTGCGTAAGCCATTGTCAGTGTGCTCAAATAACGATTAAGTGGTTTTATACCTCTCTTGATTTGCGTGGATCTCTTGTTTTTTGTTTGCTTGAAGTAGTAGTAGACCAAGTGACCAAACTCTACCTATTAGGACTGGTAAGTAAGAGCAACGGGATCAATACCATTTTCCTAAGCATTATATGCAATGTTAATACTTCATTATTGGTTGTGTTTAGTCGGATTTTGAATAATGGGAATTATGATTTGAGTTTGGTTAGGCAGAGTTAAAAATTTGTGTCCAGGTTAGTGGTGATTCGAGTCTCAATATGATCCGAGTTGGACTGGGCAAAGTTGGATTTTGGCCCAATTCTTACCTTAGTGCAGTGATCCCTCAGTTATTACAGAAGGCAGCAGCGTGTCAAAAGCCAAGGTATTCAAACTATGGGCCACGACCCAATAGGGTCGCTTTGTAGTGTCACAGATCAATACAAAGTCTGAATATGATACAAGTTTTCTAACCTTGTAGCTTCATTGTCTGAAACGACCGCTTTTCAAAGAGGGAGCAGTTGGTAAAGCAGTTTTTCTCATAGCTATTTCGATGTGGCACATCGTCACTCATTATTAGTATCGTTTTAGTAGATGGAAGTAGGCGTATGTGTAAGGTTTAAGGGTATATTTTATGAATAACTAAGATAAGAATTTGATATGGGCCTAAATTGTCGATGGTGAACGATTGATTAGTCCCATATTAATCTCCATATTATTAATACTCATCTTCCACGTCGCATACAGCTGTTTTAGCACGATGAAAATTTTTCTTGAATAAATCTTGAATATTAATCACTCACAGAATAAATACATATAAAGCAAGGTCGTGACATTGAAAACAATGGACCACCAACAACTATTGTACATATCTTGAATTCATACACCAATTTTGTTTTGAAGTAGTAGGCCAGGCCTAGTTGATTCATTACAGGTAGTTTATTACAATGGAAATGTTATGTAGTCCGATGGGGAACGTCATTGTTATTCGCCTGGTGTACGTTGATTCAACCCACGAAAATACCTAACCGAGGCGTTAAGAAAAGGGTAATCTACGCGCTTAAATACTCTAAAAGTACAGTATAAGAAAACTAGAGGGGATAGAAAACTGCCTGGCAGGCGACGTAGCCACGCTAATCATGGTTTGGTGGGATAAAC